CTTGTCTGTTAGGCCATCGACAAGAAGGTTGGCGAAAGGACGAAAAGCCAGCGCTGGTCAGCGCCGATTTCACACCTCCCAGGCCTACTCGCCTCATCTCCCATCTCTCTCTCTCATCTCCCAGTGCGGCCCGCGGTCTTCTTCCGCCAGTCTGAGACCCCTGGCCCAGGCGCGGCACAGCCCCAGGGCCACGATGGGGACGCCCTGGGCCAAGCCTCATCGTGGTGCGACCTGGGCGCCTGTTGGTTCGAGTCCTATTTGGTGACACTGGCGCTCTGGCCCGGGGTTTGGCCACGTGCGCCGGTCTTCTGGCCCACTGTGCAACGGTGGGTGTCGCCATCTGTAAGCCTCTAGCGGCAACCTTCCAGTCGGTGGCCTAACAGACAGGTGAACCTCTTGTTTTATTGAGTTTTAATGTCATTTCTGGGTTTCATGATGGCTTTTTGGCCTGCGTAAACATTTTTAAGAAAAACAATAAAAAGTTGGAAAAACACGTTTGAGGACAGTTACACACGGTGTGCTTGTCTGGCTCAGGGAAATTGAAGAAAATAGCGATACTTCGGAATCCCATATTTCTAACAAAGATGTCATCAAAAGTCGCTTGGCAAATTGAATAGAAACCGAATTATGCACGCGTTTCACCTGTCCAAATGCGAATACAACAGAAAACGAGGTTTCAGAAATTCGCAAATGTTTCAGGAACGCCTCACATTGAGCCATAACTGACACCCGGCCTAGCGAGCCACCAGCGCCCGGCAGGTGGGCCCGCCCGGCTGTGCCGCGGCGCTGAGGTGTTGCCTGCCTGCCAGGCGCTCCAGTCGTGGGGTCACACGTTCGCTTCGAGTCCCATTCGGCGACTCTGGCGCTCGAAACGTGGCCCGGGATTTGGCTCGGCGACAAGAAGATCGTCTGGGCTACGACGACGACCACGTAGCGCGCTCCCCCGAGGCCATGCAGGCGTTCATCGTCGGCACCGTCGCCTCCTGGGTCGGGCTCGAATTGAACGCCAAGAAGTGCGCCACCCTGGCCATGCGCCGCAGCGAGGCCGTGAAGGCCGTCACCGCCAACCAGGGCCAGCCCATCCAGGCCATGCAGGCCGCCGACGCGTACCAGCACCTTGGAGTCCCCGGGCTCTACGTCAACCAGACTCCCGAGGACGCCATCAAGTCCATGCCGCAGGACCTCGCCGCCGTCAAGGACTCCCTCTTGGCTCCTTGGCAGAAGCTCGACGCCGTGCGCACGTTCATCCTGCCGCAGGCCCAGTTCGTGCTGCAGGCCACTCGCATCCAGAAGACAGCCTTCCAGGACCAGGACAAGGCCACCAAGAGCGCGGCCAAGCAGTTTCTCCATCTGCCTGACCGAGCGAGCAACGAGATCATCTACATCCCCTGCCGCTCAGCTAGAGACCCTCCCGTCAGAGATGCGCAAAGGGGGGCCCTCTCGGCCAATCACAGACGACTGGTAGTCCCGTGCGGAGCGGGAAGCCCGAATTCGCCCCGCGCGAGGCTACGCAGGGCAGCATCTGGTGCGGCACAGCAGGTATACGGCGGTCGCCCGCTAGCCTGACTCAGGGTGCCTTTGACTCCACGGGACTACCAAGCGCTGGCTTGCGCATCGGGAGGGTCTCTACGCTCAGCGGGCTCGCCGACGTGGTGCCGTCCGGAAGGCCTTCAAGATCCTCACCTGGCTCGAAGGCGGACTGCGGAATAAAGTCAGTCTCTGTCGCACTCATGGGGCTCTCCGTGAAGGGGCGAGAGAGACGGAGCGACAGTCGGCTTGCATCCACAGGCCGCGCCCCATGGCCGGAGGCGTGAAGGGGCAGGGTGCGGTGGGGCGGGGTGGGGTGGAGTGGGGTGCGGCGGGGCGGTGCGGTGTTCGGCGGGGAGCGCACAGTGGGCCAGAAGACCGGTGGAGGCGGCCAAAACTCTGGACGCGTTTTGAGCACTAGAGTCGCTGAATGGGACTCGAACCGAACGTGTGACCCCACCAATTGATTCCTCGTTCGGAGAGCAATCCATTTGTGGGTTCACACGTTCGGTTCGAGTCCCATTGAGCGGCGCTGGAGCTAATAACAGGAAAAGTAGCGATATTCATCGGCAACTTTGGCCCGTCCCGTACATTAAGGAACGTACAAATTTTGCCTATGTTTGACCCTGACGGGAATTAAACCTAAGTCTGGGGTTAAAATAACTGTAATTTTCGTCATCAGCACCCTCAAAAACATCAGAAACAATGCAAAAACTCAAATAAAAAGAATGTTTAAAAAATACCCCGCTAAGATTTGAACCCGGGTCCGAACTTCTCCGATTCGCTCGAAACTGGCATCATTGGTTTTTTTCTCGTCGCCCCGATTCCAAAAATACCGCTACATGCCCTTCTAGCTGCATCCGTTGACGAGATCCGCCACGACCCCATGTAGACCATGATGCACCTGCAGCAGCGCCCCCGGGGCTCGGACCGGATTTGCTGCCACCGGGCGGTTCTTAGGGTCACCCAACGAGGCTGCATACCAAATTTGGTCAAGATCGGTCCGCGGAAAGTCCTCGGACGAACGAACGAACGAACGAACGAACGAACGAACGAACGAACGAACGAACGAACGAACGAACGAACAAACGAACGAACGAACGAACGAACAAACGAACGAACGAACGAACGAACGAACGAACGGACGCACAGCAGGGATCATACTATATGCCCGTCCCGTTCATTTTTTTACAAAAAATGAACGGGACGGGCCAAAAAACGCGTTTAGAGTTAGATGCGTTAGAGCCAGCAAAAACTTTATGAAAAAAAAACAATAAAAAGTTAGAAAAAAACGTTTGAGGACAGTTACACACGGTGTGCTTGTCTGGCTCATGGAAATTAAAGAAAAAAGCGATACTTCGGAATCCCATATTTCTAACAAAGATGGTATCAAAAGCCGTTTGGCAAATGAAATACTAACCGAATAATGCGCGCGTTTCACCTGTCCAAATGCGAATACAACAGAAAACGAGGTTTCAGAAATTCTCAAATGTTTCAGGAACGCCTCAGAATGAGCCATAACTGACACCCGGCCTAGCGAGCCACCAGCGCCCGGCAGGTGGGCCCGCCCGGCTGTGCCGCGGCGCTGAGGTGTTGCCTGCCTGCCAGGCGCTCCAGTCGTGGGGTCACACGTTCGCTTCGAGTCCCATTCGGCGACTCTGGAGCTAAAAACGCTTTGAGAGTTTGGCAGCCTCCCATGGTCTTCTGGCCCACTGTGGTGCGGGGGGGCGCGGTGGGGCGCGGGGGGGCGCGGGGGGCGCGGGGGGGCGCGGTGGGGCGCGGTGGGGCGCGGCGGGGCGGGGGGGGGCGCGGTGGGGCGCGGGGGGGCGGGGCGGGGCGGGATTCAAACTTGCCACGGTGGTGGCGGCGACCCCCTTTGGGGACGGGCAGCCCCTGGCCGACATGGACAATGCGAAAGTACTCACCCCCCCTTGAGACGCCCCGTGAGTGCGACAGAGCGCCCCGAGGGACGGCTGTCACAGGACACACAGTGGGCGGGAAGCCCGGCGCAGGCGGCCAAAACTCTAGACGCCTTTTGAGCTCCAGAGTCGGAAAACAGGACTCGAATCGAAAGTGTGACCCCACCAACGGATTGCTCTCCGAACGAGGAGTACATCGGTGCGGTCACCGCAGGCGGCAAAAACTCTAGACGCATTTTGAGGTTCAGAGTTGCATCCATTGGTGGGGTCACACGTTCGGTTTGAGTCCCATTTGGCGACTCTGGCCGCCGCCCGAGTCGTCACTCTTCACTGCCATGAAAGTGCGAGCGAGACAGAGCGACGAAAAGGACTCTCGGAATGAGTCTGCAGGCCGCGCAATGGGATGTGAGCTCATGCTCGCAGCCCCGCACCGCCATTGTGGTGCGGACATTGTGCAGGGGGGGGCCAGGTAATGGCGCACGGGGAGGGACGGCTGTCTCTCTCCCCCCGCCCCTCGCCCCGCCCTCGAGCCACCGGCGCCTGGCAGGTGGGCCCGCCCGGCTGTGCTGCGGCGCTGAGGTGTTGCCTGCCTGCCGGCGCTCCAGTCGTGGGGTCACACGTTCGGTTCGAGCCCCATTCGGCGACTCTGGCGCTCAAAACGCTGGGGGTTTGGCTCGGCGACAAGATCATCGCCGTGCTGCGCTACGCAGACAACCTCGTGCTGCTGGGCGCCCCCCCGGGGCCATGCAGGCCTTGCTCTACATCGTTAGCACCGTTGCCGCCAGGGTTGTGCTCGAGTTCAACTCCAAGAGGCCCGGGACTTGGTGGCGTGGTCGTGGAGCCCCCCCCTCTCGCCCTGGCGGCAGCACCACTACGTCGAGCGGGACTCGCAGAGGCTCGCCGGCCCAGGGGAACTTGCAGAGGGCCTCCATGGCGTCCGCCGCGGCGCGGTGCTTGCCGTGCTCGGCGTGCTGGCGTTGGCGGACCAGGGCGTGCAGCACGCCGATAGGCCTGCCCGGCTGAGCTGCGGCGCTAAGGTGTTGCCTGCCTGCCAGGCAACACCAAGGCGAAAAAAGGTCAGCGCCGATTTCACACCTCCCAGGCCTACTCGCCTCATCTCCCATCTCTCTCTTTTTTCCCCCCAGTGCAGCCCGCGGTCTTCTTCCGCCAGTCTGAGCCCCCTGGCCCAGGCGCGGCGCAGCCCTAGGGCCACGATGAGGACGCCCTGGGCCAAGCCTCATCGTGGTGCAACCTGGGCGCCTGTTGGTTCGAGTCCCACACTGCAGGAAATAACCACAACAAAAGTACACAAATTTTTGGCAAATTTTTATCAGGTTTTTGTTGCACTTTTAAAGTACAACAATTGTTGTACAAAGTACAATGGAACCGACATGACGAGTGCTGGGCAGTCCCGGCCTCGTTGGGTTTGTACAATTCTCGTTGTACTTTCTACAATCCCTGTTGTACTTCTATTGTCGGTTTTTGTTGTACATTTGTTGTACTATTCGCACTTTTTCTTGCAGTGCATTTGGCGACTCTGGCGCTCTGGCCTGGGGTTTGGCCACGTGCGCCGGTCTTCTGGCCCACTGTGCGACGGTGGGTGTCGCCATCTGTAGGCCTCTAGCAGCAACTTCCAGTCGGTGGCCTAAGAGACAGGTGTACCCCGCCCCGCAAAGCCCCGCCCAGCCCGCCTCGCCCCGCCCCGCTCCGCCCCGCCTCGCCCCACCCTGGCCCGCCCCCGGGGCCCCCCAGCCTCGCGTCGCTTCGCCGTGCCCCCCCCTCCGCCCCGCCTCGCCCCCCCTGGCCCGCCCGGGCCGCCCCCGCCTCGCGTCGCCTCCCACCGCTCGCCTCGCTGCCTCGCCCCCCCCCGTCCCCCCAAACCCCGGCCCCCCCCGCCCCGCGCGGCTCGGCTAAAGGTGCGGCCTATGCGGTGTAGTGCCGTGCGGACCTGCCTGTGCCTGCCTGCCGTCGCGCACACTGTTTGCCTGCTGCAAGTTCGCCCGGGGATGAGCCAGGCAGCCCGGGGGCCCCGGTGCAGGCCGTCGAGGCCGTCGAGGCCGCCCCTGCCGCGGTCCGAGGGACTCGGCACCGCGGCTCGGCACTGGCCGGTGGTACCTTACCAATTTACTCGCGAGAGAGACAGGCGGAGCGGCGGCACGACGGTCACTCTCACACACGAACAGCACACACACAGAGCATGGACAATACAAAGTGAAGTGCCCTGGCGCAAACTGCACAACTTGAAGCGGTGAACCGGCCGCCGTGCACTTCAACTAAGTGTCGCGGGACCGTGTCGGGCATTTCCTGGCGGGTCGCTGAGCTTTCGTCCTGCTGATTGCCAAATCCAGCTTGAAATCGGCAACCTCGCTGACACAGACGGATGGGAGTGCAAGCAGACTAGGCTGCGAGATCAAATTTAACTCGCAGACTGTGCCTCTGCACTCCCCCCTTTCTGGGAAAAGGGGCCCCCGTGGCTGGCAAGGCGACAGGGACGGTGACGTCGTCGGTGTAGCGGGCCGGCGCAGCTGGGCAAGGCGACGTTGGCTCCCGCAGGACAGGGATCGGGTTGGTCGTTCCAGGAGGGCCCCCCGGCCGGACGATGGCAGCGAGGGGTCAAATCGAGGTGAAGGTTTCCTGACTGGCCAAGGTCCGGAAACCCGGGAGATAGATGGAGCAGGCAGTTTTGAGCCTCTACAGCTGCCGCCGGGCGGCTAGGACCTTTCGCGGACGGGCGGGGGGGCGGGGGGAGACAGGCACGGATGGTTCGTCCGGCGTCTTCTCAAAGAATTGCACCTTGTTGGCCGCTGGGAAAAAGAGGACCACATTATTTTCAATTATTTCCCTCCCTTTGTTTCATGTGTCGTTTCCTTGGTTTTTACCTTGCAAACGTGGAATGGGTTGCGGCTGCCACTTGGAGCCCAGCCTGGGCAAAAGCGTGGGCAGGTCCGCCACCTCCACGGGGCCGACGTTCGCGCTGGCAGCGCCACGCACCGCCGCAGCGAGCGCAAAGTGGCGGCCGCGAGTGCCCACGTCCGGCACCAGACACTCCCGCGGCGGCAGCATCTTGCCCGTCATGACTGCCGGCACGACGCGGAGTTTGGCGCCGAGCTCCTTGAAGAAGGCCGTCCTGGGGCTGCCGGGTGGCCTGAGCCTAATCCTCCGCTCCAGAGGAACCCGGACACCTTGCGGCGGTTTCTTCCAGTAAAACTTCTTCGGCCGCTGAATGGTTTCGGGAGGATTCCGCGGCTGCCACGGAACGTGCACCTTGGGGGGAGGCTTCTCCCTGCTGCCGTCTCCCAGCAGGGCGGACGTCTGGAGGCCCCGGTCGTAACTCTGGTCCTCGTCGAAGCACGGGCCCACGTCGGGGGGCACGAACCGAGTCCCCGGTCGGATGGTGGCCGCCGACTTGCCGACCCTCAAAGGGTCGTCCCGGGCGAAGGGGATGCTCGGCCCGCAGCCGTCGAGACGACCCGCGCGCTGCAGACGCCGCTTTGCCACCTGAAAATTAAGATAAACATAGCGTGAATAAGCACAGCGCGGCCAGCTTCGTGGGGGGAGGTGAGGGCCTACCAATACTTACAGTGTACGTAGCTGACACCGGGCCGTTCTGCAAGTGCTGCCGGAACACCTGCAGGAGCTGCGGTGAGTAGTTGGTGAGCCACGACACCGAGGCAGGCAGCCACGGCACGCGACCGTACAGCCAAACCTTAAGCAAAAGAACATCACGTTTTGATAAATACGACGCACACTTTCACAGTACACAGTGTACTGAGCACCTCTTCTCACCTCGTCTCCAGGTTTGACCAGACCGGCGCCGCCATCTTGGTGTGCCTGCATCTTCACGCAGTGCACCAGCTGCTTGGTCCTGTCGCCGGCGTCGTGGAAAAGGCGCTGACGCTCGCCGTCGGGCTGGCCGTCGGGCTGGTCGTCGGGCTCAGTCGTCTTCTGAGCGTCGCCGTCGGAGAGGCTCTGCTTCTTCAGGCGCTCCTCCAACAACTTCATATTGAAAAGGAGCCCGGCCAACGGGTCTTCGGACCCGCCAGCATCCCCCTCCCTCAGCGCCCCTCCGGAAAGGCGAACCACCTGAAACACACACACACACGGCGCGCGTTCAGTGCACTGCCATAGTGCACTGCCACGTGCACTGCCACGAGGCAGGTGCCAGCAGATTCGCAAGTCGCAGGGCCGTGAAGTGCGGCGTGCCTATACTTACATCGGAGAGGGCCTCGGGCTGCAGCACGTCCGTGGAGGATGCGAAGGCCACCGTCGACCTCTTGTCGCGCCTGAGAAGGTATGGCCTCCTCAGTATCTGCCGCAAGCGGCGCTCCACAGCCGCGGAGGGACGGAGGCGCCATGGGGACTGGTGAGGCACCCAAGCCACAAAGCTGGAAAGCCAGTGCTGAAACAAACATTTAAACGTGTTTTAATAAATACCAGGATTCTTGTAGCGTTTCTTTCCGCCCCTCCTCCCCTCGTTTCCCCCTCCCCCACTCCAGTGCCCCCGTGTACTCTCCAAACCAGACCGTGCTTAAAAAGTACTAGCGTATGCTACTCATGCACTGCCGGCTCACCTTGTCTTCAGGTCGCACTAACAGCCGCACTGCAC